TCCGCCTCCGCTAGGGTTGCTCTAGTTACCACACCTGAGCTGCGCCAGCCTGTGCAGAGCGGTGCTGAGTGGAAGTGCGCCAACTGCCCCTCAGTTGCAGAAAGCTATATAGATGATTTTAGGTGACCGTTCGCACGCCTATGTGTAGCAGCTGGGCTCTACTTCTTGGACGTGTAGCAGATGTGCTGGCTAATGCAGTTGGCGAGCTGGCTAGCCACGTGCGTTTGCAGCAAGAGGTTAGCGGTTCCAAGCCCCGCGGCCCCCGCCGGGACCGCCCAAGAAATCGACGAAGAAAGGAAATCGAAAAGGAACTGCTCGATGCCTTTCGCATCATGCAAAATTCTGGAAAGAAATCGACGGAAGCACAATCCAGAGACTTCGCTCCGAAATGGGCTCCCAACCCTCCTCATGCCAGTGACGGCCATGCCAAGCGGAGCGACCGTTTTAAGGCTTCTAAGGCTTCGGGGCCTCCGGCTAAGGCCGAAGGTTCACGGTTGTGCGCCCCTGCCTGGACAGCGCTTGTCGTAGCAGCCAAGCAGGTAATGATGCACCCTTTGAGCTCTGACTTCGTAGTTGCTTGCCAGGACGAGAAAGAGAAAGCTGCTACACAGAGTTGCCGATGCCAAGGATGCTGTGCTGCTACACGGCAAAAGCGGCCCGTGTTCTGCTTTGGCCCACGTCGACAAAACCCACGCTGATGTGCCTTCCCTAAAACAGTTGCCGCAGCAGGTCGAAGACGATGAGAGACATGAGGCTAAAGGAAGTGGGCCTAGCGCGACCAGCACGAGGCTGATGTGTGTAACCGTCGCCAGTGATGTCGCTGATCAGCAGATGGTAGGCAAAGTTTTGGACAAGCCGCATTGTTTGCCTGCTGTTGCTCCTCCTGACTCAAAGCACTTCGGTCTGCCGACAAGAGCTGCGCTCACTTATGCAAAATCGACCACCTGCCTCATGCTTGTCAAGAATGAGCATGCCGAGCAGTTCCGCAAAGCTCCTCTGCCCACGAAACCGACAAACGTCCGGTTTGGTTTGGCAGGAAGAAGGAGACGTCCTCCTCGGACTACTGGTTGCGTGTGTGCCAGCCTGCCAGGGGGCTGGTTCACAAATGCACGTGGGCGGCTGCGGGCTGATTGGGCTGTGCACAGCTGCTTTATACAAGCACACAGAGTGTCTGCGGACGAGCCGTTTCACACCCTCTTCCTCGTCAGCGGGTTCAGCCCGCTTCTTGCAGGGAAAAGAGGTAGCAGAAGGGGTGGGAGAAGTATTTGGGGTTTAAAGCAGGGTTGAGAACCTTAATATGATTGTTTTGAAGTCGAAGGTTTGAGAGTTTGAAAGCCGGAAACTTGAAGTTTGAAAAATTGAAACTCTGAAGGTTCGACGGTTTGAAGGGCTCTGGAATTCGAAGTTTGGGCATTGTGGCCTGCGCAAGCAAGCCGGCGTCAAAGTTCGAATTTTTCAAACTCGAGCATTACAAACTTCGAAACTCTCAATCTTTCGAACTTTCGAGCTCGACTAACTTCTTCAAACTCAAACTAGAAATTTCTTGCCGCGCCCGAGTTCGATCGGATCTCAAAGCTTTAGAGTTTGAGAAATTGAAAGTTTCAAAGTTCGAAGGTTTGACGGTTTCGAAAGTTTCGATTTCGAACCTATTTAAAAATTTGAGAGGTCGCGTGTTCTAAAGTTTGTAAGTTTGGAGTTTGTAAGGTTGGTTCATGTTCGGTCTGTGGTTGGCCATTGAGGTCGAGAGCTTGAAAGTTAGACGGTTTCGAATTTTGAAAGATTTGGAGTTCGAAAGTTCGAACACATGAGAGTTCGAAAGTTTAGATCGCATGAAAGTTCGCGAATTTGAGAGACTCCAAAGCTTGAAGGTTTGAAACGTGTCGAGTTCGAAGGTTCGAGAGGCCGCCGACGTTCGAGTTCGAAAGTTTGAGACTTTGAAAGCTTGAAAGTTCGAGATTGAAAAGTCTCCAAGTTAGAAAGGCCCCAGATTTGGTGATCTTGGTACATCACATTTCTTACATGCGCCCCGTCATTTGGCGAACCCGGTTGATCACATGTCTTAAACCCCCCCTCCTTTGGCGATCCCGGCTCATCACATTTCGTACACCCACACCTTCATTTGGCGAGAGCGGTTGATTACATATCTTAATCTCACCCCCTTGCATTTAGCGATCCCGGTTGATCACATTTCTGAATCCCGCCCCCTTCTGTGGCGAACCGGGTTGATTGCATCTGCCCCTCCTATGGCGATCCCGGATCATCACATGTCTTAACCCTGTCTTGTCATGCAAATTTGGTATCTGGAACCTTCAAACCGCAGGCCCAGGACTCAAGACATATTCAGAAACGTCAAAACATCAACAGGCTTTCAAAAGCAAGGTTTCAGTATGTTCGAACTCCAAATTTTCAAGCTTACATGCCTTCAAGCTTTCAAGTTTTCAGGCTTTGAGGCTTTCGACGTTTTGAACTCCACGTCCGTTTCAACTCCTCAAAACTCCAACAATGGAAAATCTTGATTTTTTCAATCTTTGAAACTTTCAGACTCCCAAACTTTCAAACTTTCAAGCTCCCTAGGATTCAATCTTTCAAACTCGAGCCCGGGAGCTGCTCCGTGAGCCCGCCTCCGTCCCCCACGTGTCCTTCACCTCACGTCCCTTGCACGGCACACGTCGCTCCGTCTTCAAACTGTCAAGTTGGATTCTCGTTCGAACCCTCAGACTCCAAACTTGAGCTCACTTTCAAACTCGAGACGTTCAAACTTTCGAACTTGAAGCTTTTCATTCTCCAAACTATTCAAACTTTCGCATCCTCCAATCTTGTCCTACATTTGGTACGTTCAAACTTTCAAACATTCGAGTTCGAAAAACCTTACTCGTGGCACTTCTCGATTGTTTTGGGGGTTGTTTGAAACACATGGTTCCGGATGGTGTGTATGCCAATGTCGAGAATCCTTTTTACCATTCGTATAGAATATTCGCAAGGTGGAGCAATAACCACAATCCGTAAACGGCTTCCAGCGACAGCCCACTCTTCTCACGATGCTCGGTGCTGGGCTTGGGCGGTTATGTGCAAATCGGTTCTGGGTTGAAGGTTTCGGGTTTATGGGTTTCGTTGTAAACGTGTTTTTTATGGTTTACAGCCAGAACCCTGAGAAATATCTACTCGCGTTGTAAACACCTCTCAAAAGCTGGTCTTTCGCAAAGCAGGGTTCTTTCTACCCAAGCGCAGAAACATGCATCTTGTATAATGCTTGTTCATACTCTTTCGATTGTAGTGGAATATTATGTTGCAGTGCATTTCCAGAACATGTCGTGTCGTGGTGTGAACATGATACAACTTTTAGTCAGATAACGAGGCAAGAAACCCGCAACACCGCGCTTCATGCGACAATCCACATCAGTCTCAAGTAAGAGCACCCCAATATGAACAACGGTTTGGGGTCGATTCTCAGTCTTTAAGGAATGAGTGTTCATGTCCTTTTCCAAAAATCGCTGGCCCGAGCCATGCTTCTCATCAAGGTGCAGTCTAGGGTTTAACAGGCGCAAGATTCCAATGCCCATCATGCGTAGAATGAACTGCAACACTCACGGGTTGCGAAGCCTCCGCCCACAACCGTTTCCCAAATGCTGCTGGTTTCCGACACCAAGGCATGACAACGTGTACGTAGTCTTTGAATGCGAAAGGTGCACTTAGAGTCTTCATGGGTTCGTCGTCGTAACATAAAAGAAAGACGACTGCCAAGCAACACAGCCACGGAATTCTTTGAAGGTGAGGGTGAAGAGGAAGGCTACGGCGATGAGTTTTGAGATCGTCCTGGCCAGTGAAGCACGAGAGGGCAGCCAGCAAAATGTCGCGTTTTCATTTCGACCGAGACTAGTGGACGAAGCAGGACTGCGGCTGCACCTCTTGCACTGCATGGTTGCCTCGCGTGGTAGCGACGGGTGAAACGATCCCTGTTGCCGCACGCGATGCTTGCGAGGGCTTCGCCGACCCGGCATGACCCGAATCTGCGGAGCTTCGAGCGAAAATCGACAACTGCCCGCAAGCCTGATTCTGAGTGTGTTGCCAGGTCTTCCGAAACGTTTCCTGTTTCAGAACAAGTGACGTACCGGGCTTGCAACAGTTACTGCTACCACTCGTGCTGCCGTTGTTGCTGCTGCTACTCCCCCCATTTCTTCTTTGAGCAGCAATAATAACAAGAGTCACAGCAAAAGGGTTCGAGAGGAGCAGCAACAGCAGTGGCAGAATATGCATAGTAACCCCTAACCCCTAAACCCAAAACCCTCCCCATACCACCCAAATCCTAAATAAGCACTAAACGCTACGCCCCAAAACCCAAAACCCTAGGGCCTACGCCCGAAACCAGCCGTTCTGGCACTCATGCAGTCCGGACCCCCAGCATTGTATCCCCAGCAGCACGGACACTCAACCTGGTACTGAAAGGCACAGGGAACTTTACAACTTGGGATGTATAAGGGTTGTAGGAGGGTCACCAGAAAGGTCACTGTGAGGGCTGCCATAAGGCTTGCTATACTTCTTGGATCAAGGGCTCCGTGAGCAGGGTTACAAGTATCTTAGTTGGGGTTAGCAGAATTATACCTAGGATATATGCGGCTGTAATAAAAAGGAAAGGGTTTTGAGGTTAATATTATACTACGATATAAATACAGGACCCCATTGGTAGTTATTACGGCCCTCATTGTGGTTACCTTACTTATAACTCTACCTTCTGAGTCCCTGATCCTTTGAGTGTAGAGATTTCGGATCGAGGGAAACTCGCTTGGGCTAGGAGACTTGGTCGCCTCATCGATTGAGGCTCCCGAAGACTTCACTCAAAAAAGGCCCCCCTACTGCCCTTATGGTCTGTTTTCACAAAAAGGAAACAGCCCTACATAATTTGCATAACAAGAGCACCCCTAAACGTTTTCGGAACACAACCAGCCCTAAGACCTAAACCCAAAGCCTAATCCCTAAACATCCCTAAACCACGGCCCCTGCAGGCTCTTCCGACGCGGGGCGCCTGGGCTTTGACGTCCTTCTGCCTCTCCGGAGAAGTCTTCCTGGCCGTGGCGAGGCCTCGGTTGCTTTTGAGGGGCTTTAGGGTTTGTTTGGGGGTTTACTGGGTTTTAGGGATTTCATGGGCTTAATTAAAGGTTTTTTCGGGTGTTTTCGGGGTTGCTTGAGTTTCAAAGTTGGAGCGCTGTGTCTTTCGGGAGTTCAATTTTGTAATGATCTTTTGGCAGTGGTGGGGCCCCTCGGGCTTTTCCGGCCTGTCGGGCTGTTGCGTGTTCAGAGTTTCAGGGGGTTTCAGGGTTTAAGGTTCTGACTGAGGATGTACGACGTCTTGGGCTGGAGGGCTCAGTCAGGGGCGTCAGGATGTTTAGGGTCTGTTATGATTCTTAGCAGTACTAGCACAATTGCCTGCTGCTGTTGTTGATAGAAGTATTGTCATGGTTATTGTAGTTCTCAATTTTACGGTGAGTATTTATCGTTAGTATGTCTGCCGTCGCCAGACTTAGTAGTAGTAGAGCAGGTACACCCCTAGATAATCCCAGAATTTAACCTTTAGCTCCCCTGGGATACTGGACAGCTAGGTGCCTTTGGCTCAGATTTAACCTACCTTTTAAAGAAGTCTATAAGGAAGTCATAGCAAGGAGCCCGAAACCTCAAGATTCAGTGGGAGCCGCAGTTCCTGTGCTCGAAGACCGGCCGAGAGTCTGATGTGGTCAAGGGTGGCGATTGAGTGCCCTCACGAAGCCCTCCAAAATCCCTTGAACCCCACCGTAAACCCTAAGCCCTAAGACCCGGAACTCTAAACCGGCCTTCTAGATCCCTGACTGGCCAGTTTCTTCGATGGTGCCAGCCGCAAGTTGAGCAGCCGCCTCTATCGCTGGGATGCAGGCAGCTCAGTCGAGTCATCGCTCCGGCAGAGAGGGTTTAGGGCTTTGGAGATGCAGCAATCGCATTATTGTAACACGTAATCCCTATGCAACCTCCACAGACTTCTGGCGAACCCTATCAAACAAACATCGCCAGAGGAGGGCCACCTGCTTGCAAGAACGCCAAAATCTGCAGTGAGAGCCTGACACAGGGGTCTGAGGACTAACGAACAGTATCCCTTTGCAGTCCTTAAAATAACCCTAGTAGGCTCTAGTAAAAGGTAACCAAATCCTATTCAAAATATTGTTGAGGCCTCATGGCTCCGTCGGCAATTCATTCCCTTCCTTGCAAAGCCGAAGAGCAGCTGTGGGCAGGGTTCCGGGTCTGTGGTCGAGGGTTTAGGGTTTCGAAGAAGCAACGAAACACCAAGCACCCCGGTTTTTGGGTGGGTGTTAGTAGGATTGTTATGTTTTGTTGGGTTGAGCAGAGGTTTCTTTGGCTTTGTAATATAAGGGAGCCCCGGGGAAAAGGTCTGAGCAATTGGTAATAGTATTCTTTGTAGTCGTTGTGGGCCATACAGAAGGTTGTAATTATGAAGGCCATTTTAAAATACACCTTGAGCACCAAACCCAGGTTTAGGGGTATGGGGAGTTACCGTCCTGGACGCTTGTCGAAACCTTGAACGTGAAGCCCAGAATGCTGCAAGGAAAAGCCCCAAGAGATTCCTATTGCAACACCCCTCACAGAACCCGTATGACACATCCAAGAGTCTTGCATCCGCTCAGGTGGGTCTGGACATGTTCATGTGGCATCAGGCAGGCCTCAAACAACAAAGCTATGAACCCTGTAAGCCCTACAAGCCCTAGAAGCCCTCTAAAATCGAGAAGTGCTATAAGCCCTAATCGCGCCATACACCTTATAAGCCCGACAAGCCCCACAAGCACCCCAACAGCTTTAAGGCTCCTTGTAAACAAGCGATGTACGCTTGCCTGCATGTGTGGCCACGCTTCCTTAGTTAAGCCCCAAGCCCCTTCAGTGGACCAGCCTCTGGCACACTTCGAAAAACAAGATGCGCATCTGTGTCCCAACAAAACTGCCGAACTTTCTGTGGTCACTTCCTCGCCTCCGTCGGCATCAGCGGCCGAAGACAGCTGCAAGGACACCGACCTTGAAAGTGCAGTCTGAGTGTGGCATGCACAGCTGGTTGGAAGTTTTAGTTTTAGAATACATCAAACGTACGTCTTTGCAGGGGCAAGTTGCTGTCACTCAGATGCATCCGACTCACCGAGCAGCTCTCGGCCCAGCTCGCTGCTGCGCTTCTTCGACCTAGGTAGGATGCTGCCTGAACACGCGTGGAACATGGAAGTGAAGCTTCTGTCCGCTGCCGAAGCTCATGATTTTGCGTGTCGACACGGCATTGATCTGACCGGATCGCGCAAAGAGGTGCTAAATGCCGTCACAAAAGCTGTCAGTGCCATGCCATTCCACAACCTCGATCTTTTGGCGACAAATCCTTGCAATCGCAAGCCGCCCACTGCTCGAGAGGTGAAGGCGTCCATGCTGAGAGGACAGGGCGGTTTGTGCTTTGTGAAGCAGCCCTTTGTTGGCCATTTGTTGCAGGCACTGGGATATGCGGTTGAAGTTATCCCTGGTGCCGTCGCTCGTACTGGGAACCACATCCTACTAGTGGTTCATGATGTCCAGGAGGAGGGTGACCGCTACTTGGTCGAAGCTGGCTGTGGCTTTCCATCCTCCGAGGCCGTTCGCATCGATGATGACGGCCACAGAGGCTTTGAGCAGGTCTTCAAGGACTCTTTTCTAGAGTTCCGCTACGTGAAGAACCCCGGAGAGAGCCTCATCCGCCGGGAGCATCGGACGGGCGACCCCCCATATAGGCCTCTTGTGCCAGACTCCTTGGGTAGGGCAGCTGAAGTTGATGGCTGGCGACGTTTCTTTGATTTCTTTTACCCTGCATCGGGCAGCGCCGAGGAGCTGCTGCAGGGTGTCAAGGATGTTTGCACGCATCCTGATGTCTCGCCATTCCTTACCAGCCTTCGTGCAGTGCGATGGGTAAACGGCAGGATGATTGCAATCAAGGATGCGAAACTGCTGGAGGAGGACGAAGATGGCAAAGTTGTTTCCACCCAATTACATGATGCAGAAGGCATCCGCAAGAAGCTCACCCTGCATTTTCCGGAGATGGACCTCGAGGTGCTTGATGCAGCCCTGGCATACTGGCACTGCCATATACATGTACCCCGAGTGACGGCATAACCAGCCTGGGATACTGAGGTAAACCACCTGTCGTCGGTTCACAGCGACTGTGCCAGTATACATGTGGTGGATTAGCAGCAGACAAGCAGCTCTTTTCAGAACTTTTGAAGGAAAAGCGAGCGAAGCTGGCTGGACACTTGATTCATACGCCCCAACAAGACCTTTTGCATCAAGTATACTAAGGATCAAGTGGTGCAAGTATTGGGGGCAGAAGTCATGAAAAGTATCGTTACCCTCTAACCTAAAATACTGTGTCCCCTAATCCACAAGTAAGCTACCGGCCAGATTCCGCACAGACTTTTCACATTGGCAGAAGGAGAGGAAGGGGACCTCGGCAAAACTGGAAGTTTCTCACGAACAACTTAATTTTGGAATCGTGCGAGTCGCGCCCCTTTACTCTTTATGCCCTTACATACATGCACAAGCTTGCATGGATGAATGTGCAGTCAACCGCCATTTTTGGTCTCACAATCATGCCAAAAGAGGCAGGAGACCATGGCAAACAAGGGAAAAGCAGATAGCCTTTACACCTAAACTCTAAACCCGGCTCCGCCCATCTTTCTGCAGCAGTGGTCGGCCTGGGGTGGAACAGAGCCAGTAGCTGCTTTGAAGGTCGAAAAAGTAACAATAGTGTCCCCTTGTAGTTCCTGCTATTCGTAGAATAGAAGATGTTACAAAGCCCTATTCAAACGTTAATCGTTAGCAACAATGACTGTAACACACGACACCGCAAACCCGTTCTGGTGTGCATGTCTGTACTGGCTGGTGCATTCAGTGAACCCAGAACGTACGGAAGCACCCTTATGTGCAGGACATTGATGACAAGATCACCCAGCTCTACCACGACACCGGCACCTTGGGTGGTTCTCGCAGGTCGTACCAGAGGGGCCTAAAAATACCGTAGACATACCCCAAAACGCTTTTCTGCCTGTTAAGGCCCCTATATTATTCTGCAGCCTTGCAGCCCGGATTGTTAACCAAGCCAAGAATCCGTGGAATTTACGGTAACACCCAACATCAGGGGAGGAACACTTAGGAAGCCTAATTAAGGAATCCCTTAAAGGAACCCCAAGAATACAAAACGCTGTTCTAATTATTCGAGCTTCGTTTTCAGGCCCTAGACCTTCACTTCCCGACTGTGAGCCCTAGGCCCTGAACCGCCTCGAGCATCGTCTTAAAGCTGGCTAAAACTAACACACACCCCACACAACGCATAAGGAAAGCTCCTAACACCCCCCTTTAACAGCATCTTGAAATCCTCCCCTGTGCAGGACCTGGCCACCGAGGGTGCGAAGGACGTGGAGTTTTTGCGGCTCTCCGACTCGCTCGGAGTTGGGTCCCCGACTGTTCTCTCATCGCCTTCTGGAGGATTCTGGAAGGAGTCTCTACTGTTCTGTAAGGGCTAGGGCTTTCTGTGAGGGTTCGACGGGCTTCATCAGGCTTTTGCTGCTTTTGGAGGATTTGTTTCGGTGTTTACAACGGGTTTTAAAGGGTTTGTATGGTTTTAAGGGGTTCCAGAGACCAGTTACGCAGTAAGTACGGGATTCGCACCTTGAGCTGCAAAGCGGCTCCTTACTATGATCTAAGGGTACGTGGGGGGGTTGCAGAAACCAGGGGACCCCAACAGAGACACCGGAAGAATGGGAAGGATCTTCACCCCTGAAGGTATTGTGAATAATAAAGTGCGCCACCGTCCATTCATTTAATTGAAATCCCTATGTGCTCGAGCCTGCTCGGGTCTCAAGCTGAAGCTTCCGGGCCTTGGAGGGACGCAGGGGCTTGTTTTCGATTTGGCGTTGTGGGCTTTGGGTTTAGAGTTGAGGATTTAGCATTCGGCGTTTGCGGTGTAGAGATTGGCGTTTACAGTTTGGGGCTTAAGGGACCAGCATACACATTCGCTCTCCTTCCTCCTTCAGTGGCAGGTGTGGTGTTTGTCATCGTGAGACCGGAAACTCGTATAAGACACTCGAGCACACGCTCTAACTCCCTGCTCCTGTATAAACCTCCGGAGTGAGCCCAATTTAACCCCCAAGTGTAAGCCAAAAGCTCCTTTGACACTGTTTACACTGTTTTCCGAGGTGTTGGCCTTCGCTGAAAACAGCGCCAACGACAGCGTGCCGGACTTACCGCTGAACCCGTGAACCCTAAACCGTCCATGTGCCGTGAACTCCTGAAGCTCTAAATCCTTATGAAAGCATTAAAACGTCGCTTTTCCATTTACCGTAACAGGGTTCATGGTAAACACTGTGGTTTCCTTGTTATGATGACTTAGATTAAACTCCTTAAGAAACGCCCAGAAAGAACAACTTGAACCAGAAGCCAGAAAGTTTGAACATCATTACCCTTACGACTCACACCCATGATATAGAAGTAAAGGCAAATCCAGCACTAATCATCGTTAATCCATGTTCCGACTTTATGGCTTCTACTGTAATGTCACGAACCCCAAAGTTTCAGAGAGGTGTCGCCAGGGGTCGGAGTGCTGTGGTGAGAGAGGCATTGTATTTTACTATAGCATACTTTACTGTATTCCATCATATTATAGTCCATTATAGTATATCAAAGTCTTTTATAGTAGCAGAAAGTATATTACAGTCTAACATATTCTGGTTTGGTTTCCCAGGGTATTCTCGTTGGTCTCTTTTCGGCGACATGCTTTTGGAAGGTTGGCCAGGGTGTGCACTAGTGTTTACAAGGGTGAGCGTGCAGGGGTGTTCAGTACGTATCGTGTAGGGCTTACGAAGCCAACTTGAGGCCGGCCGCCCGAAGGCATGTTAAAACGTTTCGGGAATCATTCGCCCCCGTTTCGAGCAGAATCCACGAAAAAAGCCTCGGTAGCCGCCGCAGTCGTCCCAGATCCCGCAAGAGCAGCAATGTCCCGACGAGCTTGGAGTCGTGACGAGACCCATAAATCCGCACCATGGACCCGAAACCCCAAGCCTTCAACCGAAACCCTGAACCCAAGATCCTGAAACCGTGGACACCTATACATTGCACGAAAACGTTGTCGAGTCCTTGTAAAACTGTCATACGAACCCTATACTTCTCATAAGCTAACCAAAGAAGCATGCACAACACAAGCACAACAAGAAGCAACCTGCAATAAAACGCCACCAACAACCCTTTGACACTAGCGCAAGCGGGGAACACAAAGAACACGCTGTACAACGAGGCCCGCAACAAAAAGACACAGATACCTTTCCCAAGCCCCAAGCCTTAAACCCCAAAACTCTAGCCCTTACATTTACACACCGAAATCCCCCGAAACCCGAAGCCCTCAACACCAACATCCTGTACCCTAAACCCCTGCACGCTTAACCCCAGACTCTACGTAAACCTTAAACCCTAAACCCAAGACCCCAAACCCTAAAGCTAACTCCGAGGTCGGAGAGTGCCGCCTTTTCGTGTGGCGGCCGGCACAGCAGCAGTTCGAGCTGCTGCAGGCGCGCAGGGTTTAGGGTTCAATAGAATTCCTCAAGGGTCCTTGTTTAGTCGGAGTAGACCATCCCCGACATATTTAAAGATCATCAAGAACCCCATTTACGAAGGTTGGGGTCTATTTCTGGGTTTTGTAGGCTTTATTGAGGGTTTT